GATACCTACTACCTACTTTACAATAGAAGCTAGGAAGAATATAAAATGTGTATAATAATAAATTGATAATATCTTCTAGCAATATGTAGGCTAAATAAATTGTTTTATACTTCACCCAATCAAAAAATGGTAAGCACACATCTAGCAGTAAGACAATAAATKGWAAGAAATTAAATTTGAAAAAAATGGCCTGAAAATATCTGTTTGCCCGGTAAGAATTGTTGGGCCACTCCGCCCCTGCATACAAATAGTATGTAATGTATATGTTGCGTATTCAACTAGCAAATTTTAATGTTTATAACTTACTATTGTATTGATTTCTAAGCGTAGTTTTGTTTCAAATGTTAAGAAATTTAATTTTCTAAAAGATCAAATTAAAATTTTATAAAATATAGTTTGGACATTTGTATACTCTAAAAACAAATGTGAATAAAATGTATGTATGCGAAATTAGAGCAATAATAATGGTCCTAACTCAGTGGTCGGCCACCTTTTTTGACGGAAGAGCCAAAAGTTACAATATACAAAACTTTTCTGACTTTAAAGAGCCACTAAAAGTTTTCATAATATTTTTAAAATAATTTTATTTTTAAATTTTAATAGCTATAATAATACAATTTTATGGTTATTAATTAATCAGTTACATCAAGAGCGACACATTAAGATCAAAATATATAAAKAGTATCAATGGGAATATTGGCTTTACAAGTCTTTTGAAAGTTTTGTTAAGTCTGGCTCATAAGTTGTTGTTTTAAGTATCAAATTATTGTTATGTAGTATTTCATATTTTTAAAAGGACCAAAACTAATATAATATAAAAAAATTTTTATTATTTTATATTATAAAATATTGGTTTTGAACATAAAATATTAATTTTTGAATGGGAACTGGAGAGTCGCGACTTAAGATYCAAAGAGCCACATGTGGCTCGAGAGCCGCAGGTTGCCGAACCCTGTACTAACTTATTGATACATTGTTTTTAGATGGAATAATAATTTAAAAGTTAAAGTAGACAAAAAATAAGTAAAGAACAATCAAGAACGAAGAACTGGTAAAATTGATAGTGGAGTTTTTTAAGTGTGATGATGATGGTAATTGACCACAAGCTGGTGGACATACTGGTATTATAGTTTCTGTAAAATAAACAAATTTACATAGTTAACAGAAAATAAGTAAATAGTTCAGTTATTATAAACTAGAACCATAGTTATAACGCAAAATTAGTAGATGAAAATAAATATAAAAATAAACATAAAAGTGCACCAGGAAGATTTTATCTATATATCTCTTACCATAGAACATTATGGTTCAATTTTGTCAGACTAAAAAAAAAAAACAGATTTAGAAATAATTGAATAGAATAAGGCTGTTTTTTAATTGTATTATTTTCAAAAACTGAAATTAATTATGTTAGTTATTTATCTGTAGATGAATACAAGTTGGTAACTATTTTGCTTTAAATTATATTAGTAACAATATGTTTTATTAATACTATGAGTTATGATAAATTATAATAAATGTATTTAATTTATTGACCAATTGTGACAGGCAAGCAGTGGTTAAACTGAGTGGGGACGAAGGAGGACTGAGTACCCCTTCTTATTTACGGTTAGATTATGCGTCCCCTTTAATTTAAGTCTCCAAAGTCTGGGGGGACGCTAAAAAAATTAATTTATTGTGAATTTAATAATATGTTGCATGTTCATTTTAATAATTTATTAAATTATTTATGCAGCCACACACATTGATTAGATTTTGAATTTAAACGTATTTTATTTCACTCGAATAATCTC